TAAAAGACTCTGTAAATTATTTTTATTATATACCTATAATCAAGAGCGTTTGGTATTATCCTGCATGTGTTCAGATGTTACCTTTCTAAAGACATTTGAACTCAGGTGGGGAATATCTCCGCAAAGTCAATTAAGTAAGTTCAATGTTAGTGAAAATTGAGACGGTGTGGCTTGGAAGATTAAGTATAGAATTTCCAACTTAATGGTTTGAGTGTGCACCTTAAATCTGTGTAACTGGCTTATTCTGGGAATTGAGGCCTATTGCGTTTCTCAGAGAATGATGGTTCTGCTACCAGTACCCTTTAAGAGTTAGATCATTAGGGTTTTTGTTATTGTTTGAGACCAAATAACAAATGAAGAAAACACATGTTCAGACACAAACCACCAGAAATATATTACTTTTCACTGGAGTGACAGCAAAGGCCATCCGCAGTAAAAATGAACTGCTACATTATTTGCAATTTCCCAAGTATGGATTTAATGTACAACATGTGCATTTCTTGAAACTATTTCTTTGCTAGTAAGAATTATGCTCCTCAAATACCCACCCAACAAAAAGAAAGGTGACATTATTGATTTTCGGAATTTTTATTCCTGTTGTGTCATGAAGCAGTAATGGAAAGAAAATCAGACTTCAGGGAGGATTGTCATGGTGGTGAAGGTTGAGCTTGCAGATGCAATGGACTAAAGTATCTGCAACCTGGTGTGCTGAGCAATAAATCCAAACAAGCAATGACTAGAGAAAACCAATAGACAGGGAAACCTTGGTGGGAAAAGTCAAAACTTTTAAATATGACTGCTGCAAATATTTCTCATAGAAGAAAAGGGAAGGAAACCACAAATTTCCCAAGTAGCCAATTGTCATAGTTTCTGATGCATAATAAACAACCTTAAAATGGTAAAAAAAAAAAAACTTTTAAATATGGGAATAGCCTATGGAGGATGACAGGTATGTTTTCTTGGGAGGATAAAGGTACAGAGTGCTAGTTCTAGGTAAAGCTCTTATTTAAGAGACAACAGAAAGTCTTACCAGGCCAGGCACATATACCTCCAACCCAGATTATTTTGTTTAAGAAAGCAAGTGAAACTCAAAAACTGGTTTGATTCTTTGCCCTCTCAATTTTAAAGCCATAGCCAGTGCTATATGCCTTGTCACTGAGGCATCCAGTGTGCCTCCAAGGGTCAGACTTTATTCTGCATTTGCAACACAAGTAGGCCCAGCACTGATAAGGAGGTCGCTGAGTGGGAAGCAGGAGCAGCTAAGATTGTAAATCGGGATGAAAGCTACAGATTTTAGGACTGACTTGTGATAGGAAGAAATGTATGTCTCAGTTCTCCTTTCTAGTGACTGGGATTTTGAGGCGCTTTTTGGGGTCTGTGGTTCTGGACTCAGGTCAGTGGGATGTCATAGAAGCAGCCCAGGCCGAGAGCTGCCTGGTGCATTCTTCCTGGGCTCCTCTGTGTACTCTCCTTCCTCGTTTGTAAAATGAGAATAAGATGCCTTGCCAAGTGCTCAGAGTTGCCACAGCAATCAAATGAGCTGTTAAACCATAAGCTCTTTTCCAGCTACCTGTAAGTGTGTGCATGATGTGGTCCCAGAGTCACAGAAATCTTTGTTTAACTCTCACAAGAACTCTTTGAAGTTGTTATTCCCATTATATAGATGAGGAAACTGAGGCCTAGGCCAAAAAAAGTTGTCCAGGATCACATACTACTAAGTAACAGAATTGGGATGAGAATTTGGGTCTGATTCCAAAACATTCTGGAATCGTTGAATGTGTGATTTTCTACTTTTTCCTAAAAGAGTTACCTGTTTCTTTGGATGGCTTGTGTTCCAGCTCACCACTGCAGGCCCTGTTTGAATAATTGGAAGTCAGCCCTCAGTTAGGGAAGCAAGCCTTAATTATCACTGGGGAACAGAGGGCTGCATCTTCCAGGAATTTGGCAGACCTCAGCAGGAGGCAAGCAAAGGCCTTTGGCAAAAGATCACTTTTCAACAACATTGTCAATTCCAGCGACCCCCGACCTTCCACCTGCAGGTCCCGGAACAGCTGCTGTTCTGTGGGAAGCTGTGGCAGTCTGTCTTCCTTTAAAAGGCAGATGCACACCCCTCTCCCTGCTGCCTGCTGAGATCCCACCTGGGACTTCATCCCCAGAGCCGTGGGTCATCTCCCATATCAAGAAATTAAGAAAAATAAAGGGGGAGGTGGGAGGACAGCTTTGACAAGAGGCCCTGAACTCTCCCTTTTAATATAAGCCAGATTTAACATATGTCGTTCTATAAATCCGGGCGTCCAATTTGAGGCTTGTAATTTACTGCAACCTTGCCTGTTCCTCAAAGTGAGGTGTTACTATGCCAAGCACATCAAGGTAACTGGTGGGAGATTTAATTTGCCCGCTGTGAGCCTGCATTTCGGTTCCCTATTGTAATTTTTATTTGTGTTGAGGTTTTGTGGTTTTTAAAAAAGTCAACGAGATTTATTTTTAAATTAAGCCAACCCAACATCAAAGGCAATAAGAGGAGGATGTTTAGATATTATAAAGAACCCCTGTGTGTAATCTTTTATAGCTGTATTCTTTTTCAGGGCGCATATCAGTAAATGGTTAGGGGGCATTTCACTACCAACTTGCTATATTTCTCTGACCTCAAACTACCCCTGTGGGTGAAAAGCCCTTTGCAAGGGAATTTAGAAGCCCCTCTCTCCTCCTTCTCAACCTCTTAATCTAATCCTGTTTGTAACGCAACACGCTGCGTGAAGAATAAGAAACACGAGTTTAAGTTCTTCCCCACTTCCCTCTGACTGTGGTTTACTTTCAGATATGAGGAACCCTTTCAGGCCAAAAATGGGACCGTTTGGTTCATGAATCATTTACTTGGTAGGCAGAAGAAAGTTTATATTGAAAGTTTCTGTTAAAAAGAATGACAAGTGATACCTGCAGAGTTTGGTTTTTAATACCATGGAATTTCTTTAATCCAGTTACCTATTCAGAAGTTGTTTATTGGCTCATGGAGGAAACTCATTTTTAAATGATATGTATGTATAGTCGTCGTTCTTCAAAACGACTTTTTAAGACAGGTGCTATTAGCCCCATATACAGATGAGCAAATTGAGCCACATCTTCTTTTCTGCTCTATAAATCTTGTCTTTTTAAACAGGAGTTGACTTACACTTCTGAGCATAACTTGTACACTTTTAAAGACAGTGTCTTCAGAGCTAAATAGTATATTAGTGTTTGTGCTGCTGTGCTTCTGCTAGGTAACCAGCATCCATACTGGTCGTCAAGCTAACTTTGTGTACCAGGAAGGCTAATGGTCCCAAACTAGCATTTTCTACTATCAAAAGAGAGGTTCTGCAAACCTACTGGCAGAATAAACTGTATAATAACAGGTGGCATTTTTATGGCCCAGTGTGCATGGAAATGTTCCGGTCTATAACCATGTATCTCAGAAACTCCAAGTTTTCCCCATGGGAAATTCACATCACCGCTGAACCGGCGAAGTGCTCAGTGGAGACTACAGAAATCACTGGGCTAGCAGTGACTGACTCTTTCTCTGGTTTCATTAATATAAGTAATGGCACAGGGTCACCTTCAGTCATCATTATCCATAATTTTTCATTGATGGATCCTCCCCAGAACAGAGACTGGCAATCGGATTTCTCAATCAACATGGACTGTTGCTTGTTCTGTGAGGCTGACTATTTGTCAAGTTGTGGTTCACATCAAAATCCATCTCAGATGTAGGAAGCACCCCTCCCTTCACTTTTCATTCATTTCGTTAAAGCAAATGGCTTTGGAATCCAGTCCTATTTCTACCACCTACTAACTTTGTTAATCTGGAAAATTTACTTAACTTTACTAAGCCTTGATTTTCTCAGCTATAAAGTAGAGCTAATAAACCTATTTCCCAGAACAGCTGAGATAATTAAATGAGTTACTGTATACAAAACACCTTGCACAATACCTTACACATGGCAAATACTAAGTTTTTAACATTAAACAACCTCTATGTGCTTAATAACATTTAAGGAGAAGATTCAAGTAGATTATGGTCTGTTGGAGAGTTCAAATATAAAAAAATAATTCTTAGTGTGAGAATTGCTCTAGCATAGAGTGTGAGGTGACAACATCTAATGTTCAAAGAAATTGGGTAAGACTTCAAGAAGAAGTTGACATATTTTTTGAGTCCCCAGTGGAATGCATGGGGACATCGCTTGGATCTCTGCGATAAATTAAATATAAACTTGAACTAACCTGTCCTAGAACAGTAAGACCCACTTCCCTGTGGTTAACAAAAATTATGCCCTGTACCTATATTGATTTATTAAATGAATAGCTTTATTGATAAAAATGTATATTGCAAAAGTAGACTTGGTTATAATTCCAGCAAATCCAATTAACTTCATGGCATTTATATACAAGTTTAAGAACAAGAAAAACTCAAAGAGACTAAATATATTTAAGTAATCAATAAAATACTCTAATAAACTCAAGAGAAAAAAGTGCAGAAATTATGATTCATCATCATTTTGTGTAACAAAATGTGTGTTTTTTTGTGTATATTTATAACTATATTTAATAGCCTAATTAGCAATAAAATGTTTATGAGTTAACATCACATGAGAACATTTCCTTCTACATTACTGAGTTTTATCTATAGATTTGTAACATAACTATAATCATCTTGATGTGTTTCTTACACATTTTATTCAATGAACCCAAATGAACCTGAACTAATTATTAATACATGTTCAACTACCAGTCTTGGTTTTGTAAGTTTGAATTTATATACCTTAGAGAGATACATGCTGTTTGGGGTGGTGAAGACTTCGGATCTCCCTATGATAAACACAAAGAGAAGCTACTTATAAGAGAAACATATTTTAGCAGTGTCTAAATTATTTTTCCTAAATGATTATTGCACAACCTTTAACTTGAAATATTTTCCCAAATGACTAAGTAAAAAATGTATAGTAAGATTCCTTTCTGGATATTTTCAGAACTCCTAGTTATAACTATGCACCAAATATGGATAAACACTGGATTATGCAGTACACAGGACCAATGCTGCCCATCCACATGGAATTTACGAACATTCTACAGCGCAAAAGGCTCCAGACTTTGATGTCAGTGGATGATTCTGTGGAAAGGGTAAGCACGTGAACCTCCCTCAGAGATAGTTTTTGGCCCAACTTCCTTTGTGTAGACTCGTTCTTGCCAATCCTGTTTGGGTTTTTTGTTTTGTCTCATTAGTTTTTTCATTTTCCAACATCATCTTGAGAGGGAGCATATATGTTCAGTGACTTCATCATCCCTCCTTATCCTGGCCCCATTTTGTCTGCCTCTGCAGACTGGTTCTTACGGAGCCAGTGACAAAGAGGAGGGAAAAATCAAATCCTCATAAGTCAGGAGCCACACTTGCAAATCCCCTCAGAAATTAAGCCAATGGTGGAAATGACCAAAGCAGGTCCAGCCTAAGGCAGTAAGGAATGATGCAGATTGTGGTGAACGTGAAATTAAGGGCCCCAGCTAAGGCAAGCAGCAACTACTCAGCTCTGGCTAGTTTTTGCTGTGTAGAAATGTGCCTCAAGTACCATCGGGTCTTCTGACTTTTTGAAATAAGTGAGAAATACAAAAATTTTTATTTGCAATTTTCTGAATTTTAAAACATAGCGTAAGCCAAGCAAGACATGCCCAAAGCCAGATTTAGCTGGATCAGGCTCAGGGACAGCCTGTTTTTGACCCTTGGTAATTAGATACGAGTGAGGACATTAAAATGTGCTTTAACAATGGATTTTCAAAGTCAAGCCTATGAAGTTTGGAGGTAGAGGTTGTTCTGTGGGGTTTTGTTTTTGTTTTTGTTTTAGCAAACAAGCAAATAAGTAGAATGTACCAGATTCAAAAAAGTTACATTTCAACTGTACCATTGGATTTTTTTCCCTCCAGGATTGTAAGCAAATAGAAAATGTGGATAAGGTTCATGTATGTCAGCCTTGTTAAAGTAACTCTCGCTTTTTAAAAATAATGGAAAAAAGATTCGGGGGAAATCATGGCAACAGGATTGAGCGTCGTCTTATGCCATCAGGGTTGACTGTGACTTGTCCCTGTGCTGCGTTTCAGTTGTATAATATGCTGGTGGAGACGGGGGAGCTGGAGAACACGTACATCATCTACACCGCCGACCACGGTTACCATATTGGGCAGTTTGGACTGGTCAAGGGGAAATCCATGCCATATGACTTTGATATCCGTGTGCCTTTCTTTATCCGTGGTCCAAGCGTAGAACCTGGATCAATGTACGTATTTCCTGTTTGCAACATTCAGCTGTCATAGCTCATGTGTGTCTAAGATAATTGAATTACCAGTCTCAGTGTCTGGTTTCCTTTCATCCAAAACAAAAAAGGATGTAAGTAGGCTGGTAATTTAGAAGATGAAAACCTTTTCCCTACTGCCACATCTTAAATTAACTGAAGCATACTATTTAAAGAGAAAGGAAAAATAACTATATCAATGACTAATTCTCTCAAATTAACCAGAATCTGTGTCTTGTCGGCCTCTCTATACAGACAGAATATGGTCTTTGGGAACATCATCTTTACCTTCTTTGAATCAGAGATATACTGTCATTTTTTGAAACAACCAATGTCATCCTTTTAGTTTTTAATTTCTTCTTAATTATTACTACAGAAATGCTGTTAAAAGAGAATTAAATTTTAAAAAGCATGCTTTTCTTTTAAAAGAAAGAGACCTAAAGGACTAGAGTTTTATTTCTGTCACCTTGAGCAGTTCACTGCGTCGCTTTGCATCTCTATTTTCCTATCATACAGTGAGTCTCATGTGCCTTGCCAGTCATATCAGAATGTTTTGTGTAAAATGAAATTGTGAAGTCAGGCACAGTGGCTCACACCTATAGTCCTAGCCACTCAGGAGGCTGAGGCAGGAGGATCACTTAAGGCTTGGAGTTCAAGACCAGCCTGGGCAATATAGTGAGATCCCATCTTTAAAAAATGAAATAAAAATTAGTCAGCCATGGTGGCATGTGCCTGTCATCCCAGCTACTCAGGAGGCTGAGGTGGGAAGATCACTTGAGCCCAGGAGTTCGATGTTGCAGTGAGCTATGATCACACCACTGCACTCTAGCCCAGGTAACAGAGCAAGACCCCATCTCTAAAAAAAAAAAAAAAATGAGATTGGGTACATGAAAGAATTATGGAAAGAGTAAAAGAAAAAGGTGGAAGCAGAATTCAGAGGCTGGAATGGCCCTTCAAGAGCATCCAACCTAGACCCTTGATGAAGCAGCTGAACAGACAGCATCGGTGCCTGTCTGAGTCCCTGTTTCTGGAAGTGGCAGCCCTGGGGCCCAGAACCCAGATCTTCTGAATCTCATCCTTAGGCTTCATCTACCCCTGCATCACACTAACCCTGGGGAGAGGGTGATGGGTGGGAAGGGTTTCTCTGAAGAATGTTATTATCTTTCTCGAGATCGTTACAAACACCCTGGGAATTGTCAGATCTATAGTGAGAGGGCTTTATGTTTGAAGGACTGGGTAGCATTGGTTAAATTCAACTCTAAAAACTGTATGTCCTTTTTTAGAATATTGATTTTAAAGCCCTAGTTCAACAGAGGCGTTATCGACTATTGGTATATGTGCCACAAAAACCATGTATCAGGCCACGTCTCATCTGGCAGTGTGGTCAGAGCACAGGGGTGCAGGGCATCTCTCCAGCCTGACCCCTGGAAGAGTACATTAATCCTGCTCGGTGCTGTTGCTACTGACGACTCGCCCACGCCGACCAAGTGCAACCACCATCCCTAGGGGACCAGATGAGGGCATGAGAGGAGTTGAAGGCCAGTGAGTCACTGCTGTGGAAAAAGCAGCCCTGAATGCCACCTTCCACAGGTGTTGGGTCTGGGTCGTAACCGTCTGTCCCTTTGCAGAGTGCCACAGATCGTTCTCAACATCGACTTGGCCCCTACGATCCTGGATATCGCTGGGCTCGACACCCCTCCTGATGTGGATGGCAAGTCTGTCCTCAAACTTCTGGACCTGGAAAAGCCAGGTAACAGGTGCGTCACTATTCCTGCTCTCAGCCAGCCCCAAACACACTGAGCTCTGGCCAGCGGCCAGACCAGCCAGCAACTGAAAAACATAGAGGCAAAATATGCTTTGCCCACGAGGATTGAGCCCAAGCTGAGCATTTCTCGGCTGTTTGTGAATAGCATATTGATGGAGATGCAGGCACGGTCTGTGGGAAGTGAGAGGTGTTTCTTTAAATAAACTGCTAGCCCAGATCCATTTGGAAAAACTTCCAGATGCCAACAGTAAATATTATTATTTTGCTTTCAGGTTTCGAACGAACAAGAAGGCCAGAATTTGGCGTGATACATTCCTAGTGGAAAGAGGGTAATTATTGGTTCCTGGGGTGATTCTGGGAACCAGTCCTAGTGGGCAGCTCTCCCTGCTGGTTATTTTTTCCCCTCCTTATTTTTGTTTACTAAGCATGCAGATTTCGTAAGCCTAGTCACAAGATTGAATGGTTTGCTAATTATTCTCCACCGGCCAGCCGAGTAATTATGGCTACATCAGAACTGTAAAGAATAAATTCTCAAGCTGGTTAATGGGTACAAAAATACAGTTAGATAGAAGGAACAAGTTTTAGTATTTGATAGTACAATAGGGGAATTATAGTTGACAATAATTTGTTGTGTATTTCAAAATAGCTAAAAGAAGAGAATTGTAGTGTTGCCAACACAAGGAAAAGGTAAATATTTGAGGTAATGGATCTCCCAATCATCTTGATTTGATAGTTACACATTATATACATGTATCAAAATATCACATGTACCCCCAAAATATGTACAACTATGATATATCAATTAGATAATAACTCCTCCAAAAAGGAATGAATTATCATACGATGGGACCAAAGCCTTGACATGGGCGTGGATTTACTGTTGCATTTCTCAGTGTTGGTCCTAATCAGACCAGTCACTTAACTTTCTCAACCATCTTTCCCAAGTTCATCTCTAAGTAGCCACCAAGGCTTGCCCGGCATCCTACTTTCTACTTCTTTTCCTGTATGCCTTTCATACTTTTAAATACATAAATTTATGCCATTGTAATTATTTCCTTCGTCATGTGTGAATTTCCCCTTTTGATTCATAATGCTCATTGCCCTGTTTTTCTCCATACATAAATTGGGAGAGAGAAAAGTATTGATATGTTTTTTAACAAAAAAAAAACTTTGAGCATATAAAATGAAACATTTATGCCCAGAGTTTTGAAATTAATGCTTTGGGGCAGGAATGGTTCTTCTTATCCTTACCTCTCATCTTCATAGTACCCAGTTTGTAATTTTCACAAAGGACTCGTCAAATCTTGGACTCCTGTAGACAGAGCCTTAACATCTATTTCTTGTTGTTGAAAGAATGTGGAGTCATGTGACAGGGAAGAAAAAGAGAACAGGCAGGACTCAGGGCTGGTAATTCAGATCACTTCTCGTGTAAGAAGCTTTTTCCTTTCTGTCAAAGCAAATTTCTGCGCAAGAAGGAAGAATCCAGCAAGACTATCCAACAGTCAAATCACTTGCCCAAATACGAGAGGGTCAAAGAACTGTGCCAGCAGGCCAGGTACCAGACAGCCTGTGAGCAGCCTGGGCAGGTGAGTGACACAGGTTTTCTTTACCACCACTCATGTGCTTTTCCATCTCTAATTTAGAAGATTTTCAACATACAATGTACATTTGTGTATAAATAAGTTTTTCCTAGTGCTCACAAGGGCAAGCTCACCGGGACACCTCTCCACTGACAGAATTGCCTGACTCGTCCACGCTGGGCCTCCTCATCGCTACTTGGGCTCCCTCCAGTTAAAAAAATATGGGGGCCTCAGGGAGCGATCTATGCCAAAAGACACTGGTTTCCTCTGAGGAGAAGGTTCCTAGGGCTTCTGCTAACTGGTCATGAAAGAGTAGTCAAGAGGCTACTTAGTCAAGACATGGCCTCTAGGCAGTAAACCATCCCGAGAGACATGGGGAGGTCGTCCCACCCTAGGATAAAGTCAGACGTCATCTACCCCAGAGTAGAGGACAGAATCTATGACCAAGATTGGAGAATGAAAAGGGAAACCGTATTCTGTTTGTTTATTGTTTCTGCCTCTGCTCACAAAGGTTCTGACATCAAATATTCCATTAGAATGAATCCTCTTCATTAACAGAAATCTTACTATGGAATCCAGGGCTACCCCGAACTATCATCAATAAGAACAAAAGAAATACTGTAGGATGAGTAAATACCGCTTTTAAGGAAAGTGAGAACATACATATGAACGCTGATGACCCTAAGCACTTGATTGAAATCTATACTAGCTGAAAGAAAATGCTGTGTCATGACAAGAGAGGAAATGAATTTCTGCAGCTTAGAACAAGATCAGAAGAAAGTGAAAAAAAACCTAACATTTATTGAGCATTTGTCTAGTGTAAGGCGTGGTACACAGGATTTTGTATGTATTCATTCAATTTAATCTGCACATTTGTCAAGAGGGGTAGACATTGGCACCCCCATTTTACAAAGGAGCAGCTGGCAATTAGCAAAGCTGGGGTCCAAGCAGGACCCCCAAATGTCCAAACAGGAGTTGTCTGACTCCAACACTCAAGCCACTTGCTGCTGGTTCCAAGGTAAGTTACAATAACTAGGTGAAGAGTTCAAATCTTTTGTGAGTGTTTTAACTTATCAGACCTCTAAATATCCACACAGTTAGCCAACACCAGTGCAAGATATCAGACTGATGAAATGAGTAGCCCAGTTATTATTAAAATGGCCTCACTCATTATATTCTTATTTGGCATCTAGCTTATTGAATAGTCATTCTTAATAAACAACTTGATCCTTATACTCTGTATTTCTTCATGATTTTTTTGTACACAAGATCCCTTTGAAATGCAAGAGGGTGGGGAGGGAGAGCTGTTGAAGGAAGGGATAAAACCAAGCCTTCATGGCATTCTCATAAGTTTTAATTTTCGAGTGTTTAGTGGAGAAGCTTAGACCTATTCATTATATTTTGATTTGAAGTTCTCAAATCTTTCTTATGGAAGCTCTAAGTGTTATTATGAATAAAACCTCAGAATTGTTTTGTAGCTCTAAGATGATTTTCCTGAGCCAGCCTCAATAGGCTAATTTACTTTTATTCAGGAGTTGGAAATGCTCAGTGTTAAATCTATCTCACGCAAATTGGTGATCTTGTTACTATGTTAGCCCTTGAAGTGGTGAGCATTGTAACCTTTTGGGAGTAAGGTACACTCCCCTCCTTTCAGTATGCAACCTTTCCATATGGCTTGCTCTGAATTTTCATGTATGTCCTAGAGGGCAAATGTAGCATAAACTAGATTGTGGTACTTTGGCACAAGCTTTTCACTTATGTGCTGAATGCTAACTGTTAAAGACTTAATTTTGCTTTTTTATATTTTTCTAAACCTGTTTTGCTGCCATGAGATGCTTTTATATCTGGCTCCCTGGAATGTTTCTCTGCTGCTTTATTTGTACGTGAATCAGTCTGAACTTCAATTCCATCACACGGATATATGAGAACGTAAACAGCGATCTCTTTTAGAAATACCTGCATCGCCCCAGACCTACTGAATCAGAACCCCTACAGGTGAAGCCCAGCAATCTGTTTCAGTAGGTCCTACAGGTAACTCAGGTGCTCCCGAAAGAGTGAGAAGCACTGTTGTAGCTCACTGCTGTGATGCCTGGTGGTGCTCAGACCACAGAGCTTAAGAATCTGACAGCTTCAAGAACACCTGCTAGCTCTTTTGTGTTCTATGGAATCTTTATCTCTTGGCTTTTGCTGTTTCTTTCTGTCTACTTTGAAGACTATCTTTTTGGTGGCAGTATCACTGACTTAAAAAAAAGGAAGACAAAAAATCCAGAATAATGACACTACACTGTTCATGATCGAGGTGACATCTGAGGCTAGAACTGACCTGCTTGGAATGTGCTCTCTTGACAGTAGCTTCACAGCTGGTCTGTCCCCTGCTTCTCTTCCTCCTACCTAGGCTAACTGCCTTCATTCTAAGACAATGCAATCCTAAGTTTGACCCTCCATGGGGTGTAGAGGAAAAAATTAGCACTATTAGCCCACTCTCTCCATTCCTAATCCACAAAGAGATGGTATTTGTCCCCCCGGCCCCCAGCCCTCCTACCACACCTTCATGCCTGGTCACCTAAGGATTGTTTGATTGAGTTTATTTGGCAACGTGGATGTGTGGAGTAGAGTATATACAGGAAAGAGGAATTTGAGGTCAAAAGGTTTGGGTTAGAATATTGGTAGCCACCACTTTCTAGTTGTGCTCTCTTGAATAAGTCACTTAATTTCTCCTGAGTCTCAAGTTTTCTAACTCTAAAATGGAGAAAATTAATCTAACCCTTGTGAAGATTAAGTGATATTATATATGGAAAGTGCTATGGGAGACTGAGATGACCTTTCTCCAGTGTGTGAATATTGGGTGGTGTTATTTCTTCCAGGCCTTCTTACCTGTTGTTTTCATTCCTGTGAAGCCAACAGGGAATTAAAATGGGCTGGAATTCCGGAGACTTGGCATCACTTCTTGACTATGTGAACACAACCACCAGCGGGGACTGATCAGGACAACATGGACATATATGTTTGCATTACTTTCACGTTCCTGAATTAATATGAGACGGAATGTGAGTTCCCACCACTCTCTGAGCTAGGCGTTATGGCCCTGAACATATTTATATACAGACACACTCTCCCCACACACACACAATCACACATGTGCACACACACAAAATCACACACATGCCCATGTGCGAATCTCAACTTCTGTCTTAAAATACTTTAGTTCAACAGAGAACGTAGAACAGTGATGCTCAATTCTGGCTACATATGAGAATCACCTGGGGAGCATTTAAAATTCCTGATGCACAGCCTTGCCCCAGCCCAATGAGGCTAAAATGTATGGAGGTGAGGCCAAAGAATCTGTGTTTTTTTTTTTTTAACAGAGTTAAGAACCACAGGCCTAAAATCATAAAATGTCAAAGTTGGAAGGAGTCTTAGAAATCTAGCTGAATGATATTATTTTCCTGATAATGAAATTTCAGTCCAGGAAACTTAAGCTACAAACCCAAAGCCAAAACCTACATCTCTTCACTTCACATTGAGTGCTTTCTTCCCTGTGACATGCTACCACTGCAAAATTGCAAGATAGTAGGTTTTCCCTTCGTAACTATGAATGGCAACTCCCACTCACAATCGTTCTAGACGCTAATGACACATTAGAATCACATGGGTAGCTCTAGAAATGCTGATGTTCAAGTCCCATTCCAGTCAAATTAAATCAGAACCTCTGGGGCTGAGATCCAGGTATCAGTGTGTTTTTCAACTCCTGGGTGACTCCCATGAGCAGCCAAGATTGAGAACTACAAATGTCAAGTGAGCACTACTATGTTGGTTTTTTCTTCTTCTTCTTCTAGGTGTACATACTGACTCCTTAGATAGGATTACATAAAAGAGAAATTCCCTGGGCATGCAGTTTTGAAGTACACTTTATGTATTCTCTGGCATTTAGGAGGGAAAAGGCAGCTCATTTTGTTTTTGTAAGACAAATTCCATGTCCCTTTGATGAGTCGTTGAATTCCAGCATCTTTACAATTTAGTTTGCCTTTCTACTATTGTATCAAATATAAAATCAAAGATTTGTTTGGAATTCTGTAAGGACCCCAGCATCCAGCAAGCTCATGGTATTAAAATGTTACAAAGGAAATTAGAATGTAGCTTTTTGAGTGTAAATTGGTTTAGCTCCAGGATCTATGTTCTTATCCAAAACTTATCCTTCTGACCATATATCCCTCTTGCCCTTTGTGACCAGCTGCAGAGCATGAATAATAAGACATTTACCTGTAAGATCTGGCTAGAATTGTAGTTTTTAAAAAAAACAGACAGCCTGTTTTCAGAAACTCCCTGAACTCTGGTTAAAATGGCAGCATGGCTCATAGACATCACCTTCTGGCTTTCTTGATCTCAGAGGTTCATCCAGAAGAACTGAGCCCTCTGTGCCATCGTCCCACTGAATTCTCATCTGTACCTGGGCCCACTGTGGACCCCCAGCCTTTACTCCTTGCTCCCTTACCTCTTCAACCTGCGCTGAAGGACGTGTCTGAACACTTCTGCATCTACTTAGATCTTTCACTTCTGTGCATTCGCTCCCAACAAGTTAGAAACAAACGTGAGGACTCCTAAAATGGATAATATGGCACCATTCTGTTTAATTTATACTGTATCTTTTTTCCTACAGCCTTTTAACAGCCCACCCTGGTCAGGTCACCTCCTCTGTCTCTTAAACATCACATGCTTATCCCACTTTCTCACCCGCATGGAAGTTATTGCCTCTGCCTTCCCTAACGCTGTCCCCTCAGCCGGGGCCCACCTGAAGACTCGCACCTGCCCTAAACCATTCTCCTTTTTGACAGCGTCCTGGTTAAGGTGCCTTGGGATTACATCCTGGGTCCACTGCTTTCTCGGTATTTGACTATGGGCAAAATACTTAACCTAACTCTGCCTCAGTTTCTTCATCTATAAAATGGGCATTATGATATTAAGAGTATCTGGCTCACAGGGTTGCTATGAAGATTATATGAGCTTAA